AAGCCAGCAGTGTTTCATCTTCTAATCTCTCTCTGATCCCTCTTCTCTCAGTTTCAGTTGTCACACCTCCTTCTCTCGGTCGGCTTCCATCTTTACATCACCGTCTCTGACTCCGTGCGTATCACTCTCCCACGGCCACTTCCGACCCTTACCATCCTGCCTCCCACATAGAAGGGTAGCAGTCATTATGTCAGGCCTACCTGGTTAATCCAGGATAAACCCCCAATCGCAAAGTGTTTCATTTCATTACACCTACAAGGTCCTTTTTCCCAGAAAGTTAACATAGTCACAGGTTCCGGGGATTGGGACACAGATATTACTGGGGGCCAGTATTCAGCTAAATGGAGCACGGATGTGACGTACACGGCACCTACTGGGAGAGACGTGACATTCTGGGAAATACACCCACAGACCAATGAGGGAACTCACACTTCATATACACACCCACAAACGGATCAGGGACCTAACGGCCTGGAAAGTCTAGCCATAAAGAAATCAGACTAGGGGGCGCCTGGCTGGCTCAATCAGTAGAGCATGTGACTCTCGATCTTGGGGTCATGAGTGTGAGCCCCACACTAGGGCTTGAAAAAAAAAAAAAAAGAAATCACAGACTTCAAATCCTGCAACACAAACCTATAAACAGTTCAGAGACTTCATATGCTGGGTAGTACATCCAGAAACGGACTATGGTTCCTGCGCCCAGCACATATACTGACCACCACGTGGGAGCCCCAAAGCCTAGAACATAGACCCATAAAGAGTTCACATATGGCGCCTGCTGTCATTCACTCTGAAACAGATCAGAAACCTCACAACCTGGGATACACCCCCAGGCCCATTACAACCCTCACTCCCTGGGACACACACACACATACACACACACACAGAGCTCAGACACCTCGCACACAGGGACACTCACCACCAAGCAGATCAGAGACCTCATGTCCTGGAATATACAACAAACAGATCAGAGAACTTACATCCTTGACAAAATTCGTGACCAGACAGCACGTACTGACACATACAGGAAGGAACAGAGAAGAAACCTCACAGCATAAACACAACCACAGAGAGGTCAGAAACCTTACACTCTGGGCATACATACCCTAAAAGATCTAGGATTTCACATTCTATGACATACACCCAAGAACAAATCAGAAACCTCAAATCTTGGCAAATAATCCCCCTAGCAGATCAGAGAACCTACAACCTGGGACACATACCTGTAAAAACTAAAGAAACGTATTCTGGGGACGCGTGGGTGGCTCAGTTGGTGAAGCGTCTGCCTTTGGCTCAGGTCATGATCCCAGGGTCCTGGGATCGAGCCCCGCATCGGGCTCCCTGCTCCGCGGGAAGCCTGCTTCTCCCTCTCCCTCTGCTTCTCATGATCTATCTCTCTCTCACGTGCTCTCTCCCTCTCTCAAATAAATAAAATCTTTTCTTTTTTTAAAAAAGAAAAAATGTATCCTGGGATGTACATCCACAGATGATCAGAGACCTTAAATCCTGGGAGCTAGACCCACAATAAGATCAGAGACCTTACATCCTGGGATATGCACCCAAAAATCTGATCAGAAATCTCACCTCCTGGACAGACACACCCAAACAGATCAGAGACCTCACGTCTGGGGCATATGCCCACAAACCTTACACCCTGAGGCATATACACACAACCAGATCAGACCTTACTCTCAAATTGGGCCCCACCGCTCAAAAGAGAGGAGAGAGCTCCTCTCTTGGGATTATACCTGCAAATAAATAAGAGGCCTCACACCATGGGACATATACCGTCACCCAGGTGAGAGACCTCACACGTTTGGAAACACACAAGGAATAGATCAGATACTTCACACTGTGGGTCATGCACCCTCGAAAAGATCAAAGACATCACATCATGCATCATAGGATTTAACACCTAACAATTTGACATTGCTGCTCTGTTTGCAAGAATTAACTCCATGAACTGATCAGAGACCTCACACCCAGGGCCATATAACCACAAATAGATCAAAGACCTTACACTTTCTATATACACCCACGTAAGAGACCTCACATCCTGGGATATACAATGATAAATAGCCACAGGCCTCGCATCCCGGAACATCCAACGATAAAAAAACATATGCCTCATATCTCAGTAAATAACCCCCGAACCAAATCAGAGACCTCACACCATGGGATGCAAACCCAAAAAGACCTCACAGACCTCACAAACTGAGACATACACCCACAGACAAATAAGAGACCTCGCACCCACGTTCACAGAATCACAAACATATTGGAGAACTTATACCCCTGGCATACACCCATGGAAGACACCTCACATGTTGATACTTGTAGGAACAAGCACATCACAGACCTCAGATCCTGGGGCTTACATGCACAAACATCGGTGACCTCATGCTCTGGGACATACACCCACAAACATCATCAGATCTCCCATTCTGGTGAAGATACCCACAAAGAGATCAGAAACCTCACAACGGGGACATCCTTGCAGAAACAACGCAGACACATGATATTCTAGGACATACAGCCACAAACATAACCAGACAAGACACCTGGGAATTACAACCATAGGGATGAAAGACCTCCAGCTCCTGATACAGTTATGAGAAGATCAGAGACCTTACATACAGAGACATATCAGGGGCTTCTTACTTTGGAACATATACGTAGAAACAGATCAGGGACATCATACACTGAGAAATACACCCACAAACAGACCTTGACATACACCAGTGAAGACAGACTCACATATAGTAACATATAACAACAAATAGATCAGAGACCTCATACCTTAGGATATACATCAACAAAGAGCTCAGAGACTTCAAATCATGGAACATACACACCCAAAGAGATCAGAGACCTATATGCTGGGTCATACAGCCTCAAACATACTTGAGAACTCACATTATGTGAAGTCCCCCCACCCCAAACAGCTCAGAGACCTCATTCCCTAGGAAGCACCAACACAACAGTATCAAAGAACTGGTACCCTTGATCTATACTCATGCAGAGAGACCTCACATACTGGGACATACACAGGGATAGACAGCTCTGAGACCTCATGTTCTGGAACGCACACTCTCACAAATAGACCATAGATTTTCATTTTCTGAGACATACACCCACAGAGAGTTCAGGGAACTTACATCTTCAGAACCACACCCACACACATTTTAGAGACCTCACAGTCAGAGACATATACCCACAGACACAGCAGAGACCTCACACTCTGGGACATACACCCTCAGACAGAACAGTCCTTATATCCTGCAACACACACTCCACAAATGGACCAGAGTGCTCACACCCGCAGAAAACATAACCGAAAAGGCTCAGAAACATACCAACCAGGAAAATATATCCACAAAGACCTCATATATTGGGAAATATACCCACAAACATGTCAGAGAGCTCACACATTGGCACATATACCCCCAGAGACCAGAGATCTAATATCCAGGGACATAAAACCAAAAACCGATTAGAGACCCCATATCCTTGACCTGCATCCAGAAGAGAGACCTCACATCCTGAGAAATACAATGACAAACAGATCAGAGACCTCATAGCCTGGGACATATACCCACAAGTGGATCAGAAACCTTTATACCGGGGGCCTGGGTGGCTCAGTTGGTTAAGCGACTGCCTTCGGCTCAGGTCATGATCCTGGAGTCCCGGGATCGAGTCCCGCATCGGGCTCCCTGCTCAGCAGGGAGTCTGCTTCTCCCTCTGACCCTCCTCCCTCTCATGCTCTCTGTCTCTCATTCTCTCTGTCTCAAATAAATAAATAAAATCTTTTAAAAAAATAAAAAATAAAAAATAAAAAAGAAAGAAACCTTTATACCATTAGACCATATACTGATGGAGCAGAAACCTCACACCCAGGACGTACACATCCAGAAAGACTAGAGAACTAACATCCTGGAATATACACCCACAAACAAATAAAACATGTCTCATCCTGGGAACCACACACCCAAACAGATCAGAGACCTCATAATCTCATGCACACACACTCAAAGAGTTTGGATACCCTGGTACAATACACCTGTGAGCAGAGACCTCATAAACTGCAACCTACAGCTGTGAGCATGTCAGAGACCCCACACATTTGGGACACACACACTCACAAACAACTCAGGAACTTCACACCTTGGGACATATACCCATAAACAGTTCAGAGAGCTGACACCCTGGAACACAGATTCGCCCTGCCCTCAATACCAGAAATATCAGTATCTGGACATAGACTCTCGAACACAGCAGAGACTTTATATGTGGGGACTCACTGGCCCAAACTGCTCCAGCACCGATCAGCCCAGATGCAGAGTCCAGTCACCTTCATGATACCTTTTCCTGGGACTTAAAACTCCATACACCTCAAAGAACAAATGGGTTTCTCCAAACACAATCCTCCAAAGAGTTCATGGCTGTGAACACTGAGACACCCAGAACACCTCACACCTACAACACACACTGCAAGGGAGCTCAGAGACTTCAAATTCTGGACCCAAGTACAAAGTATCTCAGAGACATCATACCCGGGGATTAAGGATCCCAAACAGTTATGATCACATTCTGGACATGAACCCAAAACAGCCCAGAATCCCCACACTTTGAGGCATAGAACACCAAATAGTTCAGAGACCTAAAAACACAGAGAGAGAGAGAGACCCCCCCAAAGAGATCAGAGACCTAAAAATGTGAAAGAGGGAATGCCCCAAACACCCAGATATGGATACAGGTCACAAAAGCTCAGAAATCTCAAACCCTAGACAGAGACCCTCAAAGAGCTCAGAAATGCAACAAATTAACCAAAACTTAGCAACTTAAAACAACAGCAAACACCAATCATCTCACACAGATCTGGGGAGTCGGGAATTCAAGAGCAGCTTAGATGCATGGCTCTGGCTTTGAGTCCCTCAGGCTGCAGTCATCAGAAGGCTCAAGTGGGGCCGGAAGCTCGGCTTCCAAGCTGGATCACTCACATTGCTGGCAATTTAGCGATGGCTTTTGGCTGGGGTGCCTCAGTTCTTTGGTACATAGATCTCTCCATGCGGCTGCTTGAGTGTCCTCACAACATGGTGGCTGGCTTCCCCTAGAGCAAGTGATCCAAGAAAGAGCAAGACAGAAGCCAAAATGCCTTTAAAACTGTCCTCTATATTAAGTACTGCTTTGCTGCATCCCACAAATTTGGTAAGTTTTATTTTCATTTTCATTTAGTTCAAACTATTTTTGGGGTGCCTGGGTGGCTCAGTTGGTTAAACGTCTGAGTCTTGATCTCAGGGTGGTGAGTTCAAGCCCTGCCATTGGGCTCCGTGCTGGGCGTGGAGCCTACTTAAAAAAAAAGAAAAAGATACAAGCTATTTTTTGACTTCTCTTATGACTTCTTCTTTGACTCACCGAGGCCCTGCATCCTCCCCCAAAGCCTTTCTCCAGAGCTCAGACCCTGCTTCCTGCATAAAAGTACAAACCTGGGGGTGCCTGGGTGGCTCAGTCAGTTAGGCGTCCAACTCCTGATTTTGGCTCAGGTCATGATCTCAGGGTCGTGAGATCGAGTCCTGCACTGGGCTCCGTGCTGGGCATGGAGCCTGCTTGAGATTCTCTCTCCCTCTGCCCCTCCCCCAACCCCTCTCTAAAAAAAAAAAAAAAAGAAAACCTGTCTCTCTTATAGCCCAATTTACAGTTTTCACAAGAACAATGTTTTTTCTCACTGTGCACCCTTGCCTCATGATGCACAGCCTATTATGTATGTTCTCAAAGGAACACAGGAAGTAAAACTGTGGGTTTACTAGAGATGGAAACACAATTCTGGAGGATATTTACTCTTTATTGAGCCCAACAGACATTTATATTAAGCGATACATGCACATGACTCCCATGTTCCAACTGAGACAGTCTCAGACCCACACTGGACCCTGGCCAGAGATGGCATTTACCTGCATCTCATCCCTTTCCCCAGCCCTGAACTTTGCTTTCAGAAGGGATGTGTGATTAGAGGGGGGGGGGGCTGAAATCAGGAGAGGGCAGGTGTGTGGACTGTTACACTGTCCTTCTGACTCAGAGTAGTCCTGCAAAACCTCAAGAAGGTCAAATTAAGGTTTAGAAAGATGCTCCAAAAAGCTGGACTCTCCTACCACCCAACCAGGACTTGGGGTTTCCAGGCTCTGAAACAGGTTCTACCAGGCCCCAAATACCCATGCGTACTGGGTGTGGACGAGGCCTGAGGGGAGACAGACTCCAACATCCATCTGAGCAACGTCCATCCCAAGATAGGGCTCTCCACTCTGGACCACAGCCACTGCCTCTCCACAACCCAATTGGCCACAAACGGTATCAAGGGAGACTCTGTGACCCCTAGAACAGAGGGCAAGACAGAGGTTCTGAATGAAGTGGCCACCTGTATTTCCGGGTCTGGACAAGGAAGCTAGAGGTGGCTGCGAGTCCATTTGGAGGCGTTCACTACCAATCACATGACTCCCAGTTCTCTCTGCCTTTCTGAGCTGGTCTGTAGCCAGGGCGGCGTGTGCGCGCCATGGACACCTCACGTCCGAATTTTGGCAGGTGATGACATCACTCTATAAGAGCACCCCAAAGAGCTTGGGGCTTTCAAACACTGGGGCAGAGACCTTGAGACAGATGAGTGACTTCACATCCTGAGAAACAAACCCGAACACTTTTCAGAGAACACCACGAACTTCAGACAAAGACCCCCAACCTGTCCAAAGGCTTCATACCCTGGACCAGTAGTTCTCAACCAGAGGCAATCTGCCTCCCCCGCCTCGGGAACATCTGGCAGTGCCTAAGGGACATTTTGGTTGTCACAGCTGGAAGGGGAGAGGTGCTATTGGCAACAAGTGGGTAGAGATCAGGGATGCCACTAGTCAGTGCCCTTTAGCCAAAGACCCCCCAGGAACATACCTGTAGTTGAACAAGTAGGGTTCATTATTCATTTCGGTGAGGGAGAATACACACCATGGGAGCCAAGGGATGTCTCAGTAAGAGGGTATCAGGAAGAACCAGTTAGGGGTGCCCGACAGGCTCAGTCAGAAGGGCACGCGACTCTTGATCTCGGGGTTGTGAGTTCGGGCCCCACGTTGGGTGCAGAGATCACTAAAAAAAAATATTTTTTTAATTAAAAAAAAAAGTAAGAACCAATGATAGGATCTGGGCTTCAGTTAAGTGGTTTCGGGGAGGCTACAAAGAAGGGGGGCTCCCTCTAGATTGGATACGGTCAGAAAGGGAGGGCAGTTTTAAGACTGGGCATCTCCATAAATCTTCTCTCTAGTGAGGGCCGACTACAATAAACCCAAAGCTGAATTTGGTGTTAAAAAAAAAAAAAAGAAGCAGCAGTCACTCATTTTAACCAAGAGAGGCAGACGTTTGGTACCTCGCAGGTGGCCCAATGACCGGTTTTTGTCGGTGCTTAGACAACATTATAAAGTAGCTTTGCTTTGTCTCATTTTATCATGGTCTCAGAGTAACTTTGTCTGAGGTTAGTATTCTGTAAAGCCATTTCTGTCTCACAGGAGAATGACATGGCTCAGCTGTAAATACCTGGACAACTCTGGGTGTTGGGGGCTGCTCCTTACTTTCCTCCCTCTTTCCTTTTTTGCCCATGCTAAACATCTTTTATGGGTTGATTTATATCCCCCCCAACTCAAATTCATATGTTGAAGTCCTAACCCTTAGGACCCCCAGAATGTGACCTTATTTGGAAACAGGGCCATTGCAGATATAAAAACGAGGTCATACTCCTGGAGTACAGTGGACCCCTAATCCACTAGGACTGGCGTGTTTATAAAAAAGGGACATTTGGACACAGACCCACATGCACCGAACACCGTGTGAAGATGAAGGAAGAAATCGGGGTGATGCAGCAGAAGCCAAGGAACGTCAAAGCCTGCCAGGAAACTACCAGAAGCTAGGGGAGAGGCATGGACAGATTCTCCTTCTCAGCCTTCAGAAGGAAAGAAACCTGCCAACACCTGGATCTCAGACTTCCAGCCTCCAGAACTGTGAGACAATAAATTTCGGTTGCTCAAGCAACACCCCCCCTCCAGTTTGTGGTACTTTTTTTTTTTTTTTTTTTTACAGCAGGCCTAGCAAACTAGTACAACATCCTACAACGCCCTCCATAACAAAGAATTTTCTGGTCCTAAATGTCCATAGTGCTGAGGTTGAGAAATCCTGCCCTAGACACAGAATCCAAAAGTACTGAGTGACCTCATTATCTCTGACAGAGACCAATAATAACTGGCTGGGAGTACACATAGCTTTGAATTTAGACCTGCAAAGTGCTCAGAGACCTCCCACCCTGAACACAGAAGCCCAAACAGCTCAGAGAAGATATGCCCTGAAGAGACCCTAATAGATCAAAGATATCATTCCCTGGGACAGAAACCACCAAGGAAATAAGAGACCTAGCATCCAGAAACATACACCAAATGCTCAGAGACATCACAGCATGGGACACAGAACCCAAGAGAGCCCTGGGTCCAAGAAGCTCAGATATTTCACACCTTGGTCACAGACACGAAACAGGTGAACAACCGCTCATGAACAACAGTATCCATTTCCTGGTTTTAAAGTCGTCCTATGGTTATGTAAGTTCTTTACATCAGGGGAAGCGGGGCTAAGGGTATGCAGAACTCTCTGCACTCTTTTTGCAATTCTCTCTAAGTCTAAAATGATTTTAAAGTATTTTTTTAAAAGGAAAAAAGATTAAAAGATGTAAAAGGGAATTTAAGTTTTATAAACTTAAAAAACACATTTTGCCAACAAGCTCAGAAAACAGTATGAAGCCCCTCCAGTGGTCAGAGAAGCGCCAATAAAACAAAAGGAAATTCAATTTTAAGGGAAAAAAAACAAACAACCCTGCACATCCCAAGACAAAGACCCCCAAGCAGCTTAGAGACTTCTCACCCTGAGACAGAAACCCACAAATACCTGGAAGACCTAAATCTCTGTGACACAGACCTCCACACTGGCATGTGAGCTGACTGACTTCAGAACCACTTTCCTCCTACTTACCTACACTCAGCCAAACACCTCCCCTGCCCGATGCCTAAAATCCCATATCATTAAGTTTATCCTTGCAGTTACATCTTGCCCCCTTCAAAATTCCTCTTTTAAATGCCACACACCCCTCCATCCCACAGCATGAAATCATGCATTTATGATGCATTTATGGCCCAACCCCTCTCCTTACTCCTCAATAAACATACACATACACCTCCACACACCCTTAATCAGGCCTGGTCCAGAGGGGGCAGGAAGCCTCCAAGTCATCCTGGGGGGGGGGGGGGGGAGAGGAGGGGATGTCTTAGAGGAGGATCATAAGATCACCTTGAACCTTCTCTGCAGAACTCACACCTACAGGTAGCCTGAAATACAGATGTCAGGAACCCCAGTGAAGAATTTTTCTCGTGCTGCTGTGAACAGTGAGTGGGTCCTGAAATCAATATAACGGGACACAATAAGCATTGTTCTAAAAAGAGTAAGAACAGGTAGTAGAGAATAGAAAAGGTTACCCGACACATTCTGTGCTAGCCAATAATGCCAGCTTCTTTACAGGTGGCGCAAATTGAAGTTCCCAGACGGGATTCGAACCTATGGTCTCCAGTGGCCAAAGCCCTGCCTCCGCAACCGCGAACGCCAACGCAGGGGCCACAGCGCCTGCGCCAAGTCAGCAGCCAATAGCAGCACGGAGCCAGCCGACGCGCTCGTAGCCTATGAGTGATTCCCGAAAACCTTGGTACCCTGGAAGAGCTTGGGTGGGCCGTCTTGCGGTGACCAATCAACGCCCAGGGCCGGGCTTGGTCCCGCCCTGCTCGCCGCGGAGCCAATCACTGCTCCGCAGCCTTCTACCCCACACCACCCCTGCTGCTGATTCGACTCTTCAGAGCCAACCAGACGTAAGATCATGGTGGTGGCGGCTTCCGGATGGGTGGAGGCTTTAGGCCGAGGGTGGGGTCCACCATCCCCCTCCCGGGGGCTCCGTTTGGTCAGGGCGGCGCCATTCTCTTCTCCATCTGGAGTGCGGTCGATGCACCTGCAAAATGAGGAAACCATACACATACAGTGGTTTCTTCCAAAATACACGGACCCCCCCCCCCCCGCCGTGGTACCTCCCGGAGCGGACTGTTCCATCTCCATGTCGCACAATGGTATGTCCCAGAGCGGCACTGTCTCATCATTAACTCTTCATTCCCACTCTTCCCGCTCTCCTTAGGTGTGCGGCCTAGGAAGGGCTGTTTCATGCCAGTGCCCAGGAATCATTCCATCTTCAGCTCACGCCAACACAACGATAGAGACCCTCATGTCTTCCTCCCCCTGCACCCGTTCCATTCCAGGCTCCCCCTCACACATCCCCCAGTGGACCGTCCCAGCCCCATACCCCGATGATTTAGCTGAAGGCGACGCCAAGGTGTCCCAACCCGTTGCTGCAGAGCCCCCTGGCCCGTGAAAAGGCATTCGATCTCCTGATGCCACTGATGGAGGTGTGAACTTGTGTGGCAGCATCGATCAAAATAAAAATGGATATCCCTCCCTCCCCACTAGTACCACTAGAGTGTATGTGGATTTCTACTCCCCCGTGTCTCCACAAGCGCCTAAAAGTGTCCTGCACACAGTAGGCACTCAAAAGGGAGTTTGTTGAATAAATAACTTCTTTGACCCGGCAATTCCACTTATAAATATGTGCCCTACGGAAATACACATGCACTGGTCTGTGTGCACAAGAATGGGAGGAGAAAACCATTAGACGGTAAAGGGTAAATTGATCAAGGTGATTCATGTTATACCACGGAGTACAGGCTGGCTGTGAAACAGAATGAGACTCCCCACTGGAACACACCCCAGATGGCTCGGGGATGTCATATCACTGGACACAGGGCACAGAAAAGCTTGGAGACCTTGCACCATGGGACCCAGAGTCCAAGACAGTGCACGGGTCTCATACTGCGGACACAGATCACAAAACAGCCTACAGACCTCACACTCTGGCCAAAGGCTGGCCAAAGGCTCCAAGGACTCATAACAAGACATTGATAACCTGTTATTTTATAGATCTCATCCTCTGGCCACAGACTACTACAAACATCAACAGGAACCTCACACCCTGAGACCCTAAAGCATCTCAGGGACCTTTCACATGGAGACACAAACCCCAGACAACCTACATACCTCATACCGTGGACATGGACCCCCAAACAGCTTAGAGAGCTCACCACCTGGGGTATACATAAAATATCTGGGCAAAGGGGGGGGGGGAAATGCTCAAAGACAAGATGAGCATCAACCCTGCAAAGTATTGAGACCTCACACCCAAACAACTCAAAGAACTATGACATAAGCCTTGTGACCCATTCCCTGGGATACTGGCCCCAGACAGCCCAGAAAGGTGACACTCTGCACATAAGTTCCCAAAAAACTCAGGAACTTCACACCCTGGGACAAGACACAGCACAAAAATATTCTAGTGACCTCAGACTCTGGAAACATCTCTTAACAGCTTATGAGACTTTATACTTAGGAACACAGACATTCAAACCCTCAGAGACTCCACACCCTAGAAGAAAGGTTCCAAAACAGTGCAGAGACTTAACACTGTATAACCAAGGCCCCCAAACATCTCAGACACCCCAAAATCTGCAACATGGAGTTCATAACAATAAAGATGTCACACCTTGGATGCAGACCTGGAAACATTTCAGAGGGCTTACAACTTGACAAACAGGTTAAACAAATAAATAGATCAAAGACCTCAGGCCCTAGAAATAACCCCCAAATATCCTAAGAGACTTCATACCCAAGAACACAGACACTCAAAAACGACACACAAAAATGCAGACACCTCACACCTTGGAAGAGGGACACTGAGGGGCAGCTGGGTCACTCAGTCAGTTAAGCATCTGCCTTAACATGATCCCAGAGTCCTGGGATTGAGCTTTGTTGGGCTCCCTGCTCAGTGGGGAGTCTGCTTCTCCCTCTCCCTCTGCCCCCGCTCATGTGTGTTCTCTGTCTCTGTCTCTCTCTCCCTTTCTCTTTCTCTCTCAAATAGTTAATTTAAAAAAAAAAAGAAAGAAAAGAGACACTGATACAGTTAAGTGACCTTGCTACCTGGAAACAGACCCTAATAGATCACATATATCCCTTGCTGGAACGGAGACCACCAAAAAGATCAGAAACCTCATGCCTGGAAACAAACCCCAAATTACTCAAAAACTTCACATCAATGGAACTCGGGATCCACATGAGCTGGAACAACTTGCCCACTAAGGCCAAGAACCCCAAACCACTCACAGATCTCCAGACACAGATACCCAACACCTCATAGACTTTACAAACTAGACACTGAACATCTAAAGCATTTCAGACACCACACGCTATGGGATACAGACCCACCAAGAGTACAGAGACGTCATACCTTGTGACACATCCCCACAAGTCATTGGAAGCCGACCCCAAATAAGGCAGGGACATCATAATCAAGAAAGTAATCCCTAAGAGGACAGAGACACCACACTCTGGGACTGATATCTCTGAAAGAAAAGAGATTTCACAGCTCAAGTGGCTCAACAAGGATAGCCCCTCATAGAACTCAGAATCACACCCTGGAACACAGTCTGAAACTGCTGTGGGTACTTACACCCCAGACACAGACCCCAAACAGCTCAGAGATTGCAGGTCCTGGGAGAGAGACCCCCAAACAGCTCAGAGAGCTCACAGGTCAGGACATGAGCCGGAAACACCTCAGTGGCATCACACCAAGCCATACACCCTCATAAAAGTATCTCAGAGACATCAGACTCTGGGAAATATACCCAGAAATAAATAAAAGACCTCATTCTTGTAACTGAGACCCACACAAATGTCAAAGACCTCACACCTGGAAACATCTGCCAAATGGCTCCAACACCTCATGTAATGGGATCTAGACCCACAAGAGCTATGAGGTCTCACACCCTTGACGGAGACTCCCACAAAGTTCAGAAACCTGAAACCCTGGACCCACATCCCCAAAGAGTTCAAACACCTCACATGCTGGGAAAAGGACACCCCAACAGCTTAGAAAATGCTCATTGAGCAAAAAGAAATAAAAACACCTCAGCAATCTCATTCTGTGGTACCAGACTCCAAGACGACAAAAATCTCACACGCTTGGACACAGAACATAAAACAATTCCAAGGCCTCATATACTGGATGCAGATCCCCAAGGAGCTCAGAGGCTTCATAGACTGGAACAATGACCTACAAACACTGCAGACACCTCACACCCTGAGACACAGTGTCGCAAAGAGCTCAGAAATCTCAGACTCTGAGCACAGCACAGAACAATTCTGCGGCCTTAAGCTCTGGACACTGACCACTCCATACCACCCCCCACCCCCCAACAACTCTAACCCAACCTCAAAGACCTCCTGAGAACAGGAAAACTCAAAAACAAAGAGATCTCACATCCTGTCACACACCTCAGAGACCAGAAGTGGACACATGCCCCAGATAGCTCCGAAATTCTTATTCTAGAATGCACACCCCAAAACGGCTCAAAAATTCACCCTGGGGCATAAACAGTAAGTACCTCAGAGATCTTATCTCCTGAGAGCTAACCAAGACAACTCAGAGGACGTGACACTCTGGACACAAAATCCCAGACAGCTCAGAAATCTCGGGCTCTGGAACCCAGATCCATGAACAGACAGTGATCTCACACAGTCACATGGATGGCTAAAGAGCTCAGAGACCCCACTCCTTGGAAACAGAGGTCAGAGACATCATAACCTTGACAGTGACTATCAATAGGGACAGACTCCTCACACCTGGAGACATATCCCAAATGGCCATCATGTGCCACAGAACCCAAAACAGCATAGAGACTTCACACCCTGGACACATACCACAAAATAATTCAGAAATCTCATGCCATGAACAGAGATGCCCATGAGCTCATAGATCTCACGTTTTGGGATTCAGATCCAGAAAAAAAAAAAACCCAAACTCAGAGATATCACACTTTGGGGTACAGACCCCAAAAAGAATCCTTGCAGCCTGCAAAGAGTTGCCAGTTACTCAAAGAGTTCAGATGCCCCACACCTTGGACTCAGACCACAAAACTAATCAGAAACTCCCCTCTTGGTAACAGGTTTTGAACAGGCTCCTAAATAGCTCACCAACTCCATAGAAACCAATTAGCAAAGAAACCTCCTACCTGAGACACAAACATGATAAAATTCTGAGACTTTGTACCCTAGGAATAGACCACGAATAGGTCATAGGCATCACACCCTTATACAGAAACCACCAAAAATGTGAAAGACCTCACACCCTGGAACAAACCCCAAATGACACAGGATTTCATGGCATGGAACACAGACCCAAAAGAACTCAGACATCTCATACCCTTCAGACAGCTCAGGTCCCTGAGCCGCTAAGAGGCCTCACTCCCTGGACACAGACTAAAAAAAATAATTCATAATCTTCATACTATGAATAAACATAATCCAGAGAAACTCAGGAACCTCATATGTTAGGACATAGACACAGAACCACCTCCAAGAGATCTCATGGTGGAACACACCCAGGGACATAGTAACTCAAAACCACTCAGAGACCTCATACCTTGGGACAGAGTCCCCACTCCCAACACCTCAGAGACCTCACACTCTGGGACAAAATCCTTACAATGGTTCAGATACCTCAAACCCTTGAGAAAAAAAATGCATAAAATTTCAAGATCTTATACGTTGGACACATGTCCCAAAAGAGCTCAGACACTGCATATGATAAGGCACAGAGCTGGTAAGTGTGTGTGCCCTCACAGCCTGGTCCACACAGTCTCCAAAATGTCATATTCCAACCCTGGGGAATAGACCCCAAAC